GTTGTCTGCATCAAGAACAATTCCAGTTGGCTGAAAGAGTGTAATTGACGATCCATTTCCGGCTATTGTTGTTCCAATTAATTGTCCTGATTGATAGAATTGTATTCGATTGTTACCATAATCTGCTACATATAAATTTAAGTTGATGTCAACAAAAATTCCATGAGGATTATAAAGCATATTTGATGCAGATCCAGAACAACCTGTACCAGCAACAAGAGTTAATGTATTTGAGATACTATGAATTGATTTTGTAACAACTTGATGAAGAGAATTCATTGAGCAGTATAAAGTATCATTAATATCAATAAAGAGACCGTAACATGCTTTACTAATATACATTGCAGGTACACTAATGTTTGAATTCAATGCCCATTTATCTACGCGACCGTTTGAGCCACCATTATCAATATAAATATCACCAGTTGTCGTCACAAAAAATGCAAACGGATTTGATAAATTGGCAGAAACTATCGTTGTTGGATTAATACTACCATTTAACCATGCTTGAACCTTATTGCTTGTTCGATCGACCGCATAGACAATGTTGTTGGTATTGATAAAAATACTGTAAGGACTTGTACCTATTGTACTGTTGCTAGCAAAAGTTGTAGAATTCTGATCCCATGACGTATTTTGACAGAATTTTGGTTGGTTATACGAAACAACTAAAAAAGATGGTTAAAGATCATAGTTTTGAAAATCCCAATAAAGAGATGGGTGCTATTTTCTTTCATAATAAATTAAACATACTTTTTGATGAATTTATTATTAGATTATTTGATTGAGAAGTAATTATATTTGATGAACTTGTCACTAGAAATGAAAAATAAATTTATTGATAAAAGTAAAGATTCTCTTACCATTATTCATAGTTACTGTTATTGTTTTCTCAGTTGTTGTAACATCATCTATAAGAAAGTATTTTTATAAAAGAAATAAATATTATCTCAGTTACCACAGAAATTCGTTAACAAATCAAATTTTACAATTTGACTCGTGGAGGAATCAATGACGAAGATGTTTCCAGTACTATCAAAAGCCATGGCTTGAGGACTATTGAGTGATGAACCAGAACACCCAATTATACATCGAAAACCATTCGGTCCTTCTCCAACAATACGTTGATACCCCCTATCAACAATGAAAAGATAGTTGTCTGCATCAAGAACAATTCCAGT